TCACGGTATCCACGTGATGACTCGGCGAGCCGCTCGCATGATAAGGTCGCCCTAGTCAGAGGTGGGAAGTATTGGAGTACAAATTATATCGCCTGGTTGTTTAGTTGTATCTTTCGTTCCTTCGTTACATGTTCTCCTGGCTATCCGTCTGTGTACTCACTACGGTTTTATCTTTCTTCTGCACCGGCCATTTTTCTCTCTCTTTCTTACATCTTGAACACAAATACCGTGTGTACTTTCTTTATATTCTTACTGTTTGTTACAATACCTTTACTTTCTACTTCTACCATCTATCTCGAACACAAATATCTGCTTACTTGTCCACGTTCGTTACATGTTGAACCTCAAACTACCTGTACTTTCCTACTTCTTTACATGTTCGAACTCAAATACTTCTCTATCTACCTTCTCACCCCATTTGACACACAAATACCTGTACTCTCTCTACTCTCTTACCATGTTGACTCAAATACATGTAATCTTCTACTGTCTTACCGCTGCTCCATGGGTTCGAACTCAAAATACCTGTACCTTTCTACTCCTCTTACCATGGCTTGACAACTCAAACCTACCTGTACTCTTCTACTGCCGCCGTTTACCACTGGCTTGACACCACAAATACCTGTAAGCTGCTCTCTACCTTCTCCCAACATGCTTGACCTCAAATACCCTGCCTACTCTTTCCTACTTCCTCCTCATTTCCCCGAACAGCGCTGGTTTCTTTAGTTGAATGTGATGGTTTGGCTGCCGCTGATCATCTGATTCACCTCCTTTAGCAGTCATCTCCGCCGCTCGCTCAGACTCTCCCCCGATTCTGACACACCGATCCCGTTCCGTATTCCCATCCATCTTCTGCGTGCTTCTCCTAAGAAGAGAGGGACCGTCAATGAAACACGTCTGCTCATGTTGTCCCGTTGTTCCGCCAGGAAACACTTCATCCTTAGCTACAATGACACCGCTTATTGTTCTATAATATAAAGGCACGGAGGTCAGGTACCTCTTAAAACAGCTCTAGTTATCGGCGTACTCCTTTTACTCGAAGTACCATTTCAATAAAGCCCTCACCTCTTACTTGACTTGAGTAAGAAGTATAGTCAGTACTTCTACTTTCACCAGAGTATTTTTAAACACGAGTATCTGTACTTCTACTTGAGTAAAGGATGTGTGTGCTCTTGCCCTCTCTGGTGCTAATCAGTCAAACGTCCTGCCGTTGTCTTTAGTTTTATCCTCAGCTCGTCCTCAGTGCCTCGTGTTTGCCGGCCCTTGGATTATCTTTTCGAGCGTCAATGTGTCGCAACCCGGATTCTTAAATGAACGTCTAATGAGGAGCAGCGAACTCAATTAGTGAGGAGTTCCGTTTCACCGTCACACAGGATGACGGCCTTAACTAAGTACTAACAACTTTACACTGTGTGTGAAGGACACACTATCATGCAACTGCTCAATAACATCACCTGTGTTTCACTCTAACCCTCGGGTGGAGTTTTGGGTAAGGATATTTCTCAATCTGAAATTCCATGGCCTTGACTTACGTTCTGTAAAAACATTTTTTTAATATTTTGGACACATGCTTAACCGTCTCCATATGTGTCGAGTATGTCCTTTATACAAAACAAATATAAGCATGGAGGACTTTAAAGTAGAGACACTACATACTGATATACACCTGAACATCAGCAGGAGAGGACTCTTTAAAGTAGAGACACTACATACTGATATACACCTGAACATCAGCAGGAGAGGACTCTTTAAAGTAGAGACACTACATACTGATATACACCTGAACATCAGCAGGAGAGGACTCTTTAAAGTAGAGACACTACATACTGATATATACCTGAACATCAGCAGGAGAGGACTCTTTAAAGTAGAGACACTACATACTGATATACACCTGAACATCAGCAGGGACTCTTTAAAGTAGAGACACTACATACTGATATACACCTGAACATCAGCAGGAGAGGACTCTTTAAAGTTCTCATCAAGGAGAAGTTAATTCTCTTTTGGTCAACAGGATTAGTAAAAAACTAGTGGTCCCATTTTAGGGTTAGTATTGTCCAAGAAAGAACTGAACACATTAGGGTCTGGAACACACATTATTGCTCTTCTAGTCCGTTATAGAAGCTGTTCACTAATTGATTAATTATTCATTGTTTACGCAGCAGAAAATCGATTAAGTAAGCAGATTTAAATCTGTCACAACTTGAATAAAAACGACACGACCAACTATGACCGGCTGAAGAACAGCTTGGAGTGATTTGAGATACAAACAGTCAAAAGCCACAGGTACATCCTGAAGTAACAGCACAGGGTGTTTGTTTGGCTTAAAGCTAACAGTCTTTACATGTCTTGCTCTTTAAATCCAAAGCATATATATATATTACATTTAATAGGATATAACTCAATTTGAGGCTGAAGGAGCATTTTTAAATTATACGGTAGTTAAATAGTTAATCAAGTATTAAAAAACTTCTCATTTAGATGTCGATAAGAACTTTTTGGGAACAACAAAAACCTTTTACAGCATATTATGCATGGAAAAGGCTAAATATATGGCATTGTTTGACATAAGCATGTTAGCTCTTTACATGTGTCACTTGCAACCAGTACAAGTGAATGCAGTTGCGAGCAAATTAAACTAATTTTAATCAAACTTCCAGGCATGCAAAGTCATTTAGATGTTTTAGTGGGTTGCTCTTTTTAAAATGTACCACCTGTGGCCTTGCTAGTCCTCCTTAAGAGTAAATGAGCTCAAACAAACACCAGCGATATGCTTTAAACTCAGTATGTCACTAGTCAGCTGAAAAATATCCGACTACATTTGGGTTTTAGTGCTAAATTGGCTTCTTTATACAAACTGTCAGAGTCACCGTGTCTCTATAATGAAGGCAGGGCAGTTGCCCGTTTATAAAGCACTCAGGAATGTGACTGCATTAATGCTCGAGTCGTAATTAGACAAAAATTCAAAGTGACTCAAACATCAGTCTAATGGGTCTGCCGGTCTAAAGCAAGCTTCACGTTGCTGAAAGTTCATTTCAAAAGCCACACTGACAAAGTGAAACCGCCTGAAGGAAGGAAACACACACATGTGCCAACTTTGAAAAATGGTTAGCAGTAGCGTAAAGCTAATGGTAGCGGAATCAAAGGGATAAAGCATGCATCTGACAGCATGGGCTGTGGTTGAGAAATGTTTGACTTGTTATCCGTTAATAAATGATCACTTTGTACAGAGAGGAGGCTAATGTTAACTCATGTTAACTAATATTGACAGTTTGATGAACCCTGGCCGCCTGTTAGCTCGTGCACTGGGGATGAAACTGTGTTCTGGAACCTGTGAAGAGGGCAGGGCTTGTGTGCTTCTTGGGATTGATTAGTGGATCAATAAAGTGGCGAATGCCTTCATCCACATTCTTCAAATGAATGTAAATTGATGGAGGATACCAGAATTAATTTGCTATTGCAGAAAATCCTTTAATGTAATCCTTTTCTGATGGACAACATTCATTAGTGTGTAACGCAGTGTCTGGATCAGTGCCTTCTGCTGATCTGCCAAGACAAGTCAGTCAGTCAGTGACCTCCTCCCTCCATAAATCACTCCTGGTGTAAACATAATGCTCGTTGAACCCACATCAACACTTTGAAATGTGGAGACACTGGCTTTACACATGTGTGGGTGTGTCAACAACAGTGTTCAGCTGCCCATTAACAAATGTGAAGTACGAGGTGATGAATGTAAAACTCAAATCTGACAGCGGTGATGCTGCTGCGAACACAACGGTGATCATTTGGCTAAACACGAATGACTGTCAGAGTCACAAACCCTCTGTATGGAAAGCAGCTATCTCAATAACCAAATGTTCACCACATCCTCTTCAATCAAGCTGCACGCCTAGAAGCTGAAGAGACTCATCCAGGCCCCAAGAGTTGCAGCAGCAGGGACAAAAGGATGTGCAATTATGTGTAGATGTATTATTTAAATCAGATCTGAGCTGTAGTCTGCTCTAATGGCCGAGTCATGCTCTTGCAAAACAGGGGTTTCGGCTCCAGAGCTGCACATATTGATGCTGCAGCTGCATGTCAGCCTCAATAAATGTGTTGCACATGATACATTAAACATATCCAGGATCAGACTGACAGCCTGGGAGCAAATGGAGACTGTTTGGCAGAAAAGTTTGCAACAGACAGCAAATATAGGACATGAGTGAGGCGTGTATGATGAAAGGAAATGGCAATATGATGACATATTCTGCACCACAATCTGCTGTTGTTAAGGCTAACCCTAGATGAACTTATTGATGGTAAATGGGGTAAATAAGCATGCAGATGAAGCGTTGCTTTGTGGGTTTGGTGACATCATGAAGCCAAGGAGCTGCAAAAACCTGAAAAAAGCTCCAGTCACATTCAGCATCTACAGTAAGTCACTGGTTTGAGAGTTAGCACGCCTCCACCTCCCTATAAGGCTGCATAGCACACACACACACACACACACACACACACACACACACACACACACACACACACACACACACACACACACACACAATAAGCTCTGAGGAGATGTGCTTACCTGGGCTCAGGCAGGATGATTTTCTTGCTCGCTCGGGCCGCAGGAGTAGATTTGCTCTTCTCCATCGCCATCAAATAACTGACATCGGCGAGAACTGCTTCGAGGTCCGCCATCTTTCGACCCTGGGACGACCAAATCAATCAAATAACCGGGCTGGGGATGGTTTTATTATATTATGGGATTAAAAAAACAATGTCCTCCTCCAGATATGAGCAACATCAAGCGCCAAGGTGCGTGACAGGGCCAGAGTGACCATCCGCTGCGATGGTGTCGTTGTCTATCCGCCTCAAACTACCATCATTGTGGCAGAAAAAAGGAAATTCAGGAGGGGAGACATTGGGTGACTCCTCGAGAAATATATACAGTCAGCAGGGCCGCGAGATCAGCGTCTTTGTAATCCCATTTAGTGCAGAAAAATGCAGGTTTCTCACGGGGAAATAATGCACAGATCTGTCCCCTTGCTCGCTTTATAGTAATGTCAGATGCACCAGATGCTGGATGTGGAGACAGCTGTCAAATCCTACAGGTCTCTGGGGACTTTCCTGCTGGAAATCAGTCCAAAAACGACTGGTTTGTCTCCAGTGAGGCATGGGTTTCAGGGCTTCTTTCCCCCTGAAAACGTAAACACTCTGCTGTCGAGAAAAAGGGGGAAAAAAAATCTAATTTTGGCTGCTGAGTGGAAATGTGACTGGCTTCTTCTGTGTGTGTCTCCAGAAAAGCAGTAATAAAACAGCGACACGTGTAGTTCTCAGTAATGGAAGGAATAAAAGAGGGAGGGTGGAATTGTCGAGGCTATTACTTTGTCCATAATATCTCAGCTGGTTAAAAAAAAAATGCAAATATTTGCACAAAAATATGTTGTTTATGTTGCTGCCTGCCTGGCTTCCTGTCTTCCTTTAAATCAATCACACACAAAAATGTCGCCCGAAAAGACGTCATTAAACACTTTAAGGAGGATTAACACAAGCTAAACCGATGTAATCAACTAATCACAAATCCACGAAGGTAACTTGTTTTACCCTGCTGGGCTAATATCGATATTTTTGGTGCTCAGTTTAGGGTGCTAGTTAGCAAAACGCTAACAGTGGGCTAACTGATCGGGTGATTTTTACCTAGCGAACGTTAGCTATTTATACATAAAATATAAAATACCCCAGTACAGTCAGTCCAAAAACAACTGTTCTCCATGGGTTACAGGGCTTTCCCCTCTGAAAACGTAAACACTCTTGCCTTCCAGAAAGGGAAAAAAAATCCACTAATCAGAAGCCAAATCCACGAAGCTAACTTGTTTTAGCCTGCTGGGCTAATACCGATAATTTTGGGTGCTAGTGCTAGTTAGCAAAGTGCTAACCGCCAGCAGGGATATCGTGGTATTGAGCTACCAAACGTTAGCATCAGTTGCTAACAAGCTAATAAGCCAACGGCTGAGCTCCTGTTAGGGGAAGTCTCGCAGCAAACAGAGGAAAAAATGACACAAATAGTCCCAAAAAAGGCTTAATAACAATGAGAAAATCGCACAATATAATCCATAGTTTGTCCGTTGAGTTACCCCGACTGTTAGCGGGGGACCCTCCTCTCCTGGAGACCCAAAGCGAGCTGCTGGTGACGCTGATGGCGGAGGAGGGGGAGGGAGCGCCGGGAGATGGAGATCCGGCGGGTGGTACACTTTTTCGGCGTAAACTGCTTTTAAATGCCAAGACAACACATTTAACCACCAGGTGTTGTGGTAACCAGTCCGACAATAACTAACACAACACGGTGCCGGTGGTGTGTTTCTCGTAAATCAACCACAAAATCGCACAAGGAGCCGAACGTTCCCACCGACTCCTGCCTGTGAGACTATCCGCTTTAGAGAGCTCAATCTCCGGCTGAGTAGAGAGCGTCCGTCCGGTGTCTTTCCCGGAGCTTCTGTCAACTGATACTAGATCCACTGTGTTTCTGTTAGGCTGTTCGCGTCCCAGCTCCAATATGGCACATGTTTTCAGGTGAAGTGCCCCCTTCTTCGGTGTATTTTTCAGTGTTTTTCTGCACAGAGGCACTGCTTGCTTTGTGGTCCAACTTCCTCCCACTGCGGCGGGGAGAGGGTCGTAAAACCCGGAGCGGACCACAGGGACTTAATTTATATTTACATATAAATATGTCACAAACACTATATATTAGTATATATTCAGCAGAAATGAAAGCATGCATTAATATCTATTTATTATCGTAGCCGGAGACTTCCTATTTTTACTCATTCTTGTATATATTTTCTGTTTATTTTATATTATATTATTAGGCTACATTATTCAATCTTTTTTATATTTTAATGCCCGAATAGCCTATATTGCTGCTGTAAATAAAGATTTTCCCAAATATGGATGAATAAAGAATCCATCTATCTTTCCATTTTAGACCATAGTTATTTACGACCTTGCAGAAATAGCCCACATATTTCCCAGAAAACATTAATTTGGTTATGAAAGTGAAAGCTACAGCCTCTCAATATCATCGCTTTTATAATCCCTAGACAGTATTTAAAGCGTTGTTTTTCACATAACAGTTTAAAAAATCCTCTGATAATTAATTTAACAGATCGGTGAATTGTTTTCTGTGAGTTTTGGTGGAAACATAGCACCGTTTCCTGGACAGCACTGGTAATGCTGGAGTTGAAACCTATTTTTTTCTAACAGATCTGCATGAAAAAGTACTTCATATGTTTTATATCCCGAAATAAATCTAGTTTAATATGATATGAATCAGAGAAAAGCATAACATGTGCATATTCTGCTGGTTGAAACTGAGTTTTGGCAATGTTTGCATGAAAAGCAGTTTAGTTAACAATCATTTAATCTCAATTACATATTATATAATGTGTTTATATCCATCAGTTTATTATGTTATGAAGCAGAGAAAGCATTACATCCGCATATTTGAGGAGTTGGAACCTCATTCTCTTCGAATAGCTTTAGAGATTTAATATCATAGTTGGAGACTTCCCCTTTTTCACATTCAGACTATTGTTATTTACGACCGGCTTACCAGAAATAGCCCACACATTTCCCCGAAAACAGCTCTGTAAATTGTTTTCTGTGAGTTTCTGTCAAGTACTCAGATCTTGTACTTCAGTAAAAGTAGGAGTACTCAGATGTTGTTCTTGAGTAAAAGTAAAAGTACTCAGATCTTGTAATTGAGTAAAAGTAGAAGTACTCAGATCTTGTACTTGAGTAAAAGAAGAAGTACTCAGATCTTGTACTTGAGTAAAAGAAGAAGTACTCAGATCTTGTACTTGATTCAAAGTAGAAGTACTCAGATCTTGTACTTGAGTAAAAGTAGAAGTACCAGAGTTTAGGAATACTCTGTTTCAGTATTCTCCATAAAAGTCCTGCATTCAAAATGTTATTCAAGTAAAAGTAGAAAAGTATTATCATCAAAATATAGTGGAAGTACCAAAAGTAAAATGTGCAGATTGATTCAATAAAGTGAATCTAATCTAACCTAGGAACTTGTATTGCCCAACAACTGACATCAGGTAAAGACCATCGTGTGATTCTGGATTAAATGTTGTGATGTGAAACCTCATGCAACCCGACCCTTTCCCCACTTCCTGTTCTAACGCTCTTCCGGTTTAGCTCTAGCAGCTCTGTAATCGGATGGTTTTACTGAACCACATCCATCCTCTGTTAGTGACAGGAGGTTAGAGACAATGACCAAGACTTTAGTACATCCACAAGCTACCCTGCAGTATACAAAGTCATTCAAACTAGCTGCACCTTTACCAGCTTTGAGAACACTTTCATGATCAATCATTATAAAACACATCATATATATTATTCTGAAATGGACCAATCTGCACAATGACTACTTTTACTGTCGCTACTTTCACTAT